CACGATCCTCCAGTACAAGTATCCTTTCTTACCCTAATTTCATAGATGAAAAACAATCCTATGGACCTTGGATAATGGCTCAAGTATTGGAACTTCTAGATTGATTTTCCACTTTCTACATCTTTTCTATTTATCTTTTTCTTGTTTGTTCTACTTTTTGGTTTAATTTCATCAAACATGACTTTTAGTACTCACATTTTTAGATTTCCTTTTTTAAATTCTATCTGCTAACAATCTCTCAATGTCATTTCCTTCAGTGATTTGTAATGTTTGAATGTGAGCTCATTGTCAACAGAAGTTGCTCCTCTTTGTGTCCAAGGCTGAGGAACATCCCTAATAGGTATTATTGTATTTACCTCTATGTGGGTCCCTTCATGTTTCATCAGGTCAGATCAGTTTTTACTACCTCTTTAAAGGGTCTCTGCACCTTGTGAGGAGTCTGAGTTTGGACTGTATGACCATGCATGGTGCAGGTCTGGAATCTAAATTCCTCTGGGTTGCCTTTTTACCCATGATCTCAGGTGGCCCGATGACAAGCTTCGTTGTTTCCCCAGGTAGTTTCATAGAAGGAGCAAACCCTTGTGATTACTGGCATAATTATATTGCAATATGGTTAGCTTTAGCTCCCTACAAGCAAAGGATCTGAAGCTTGCAATACTTTCACTCTGCCACATCAGAATAGTTAAGGCCCAAGACTCAATAGTTAAGGCCCATAAGAGCCCTAAGTTCTTTGAGCTTCAGTTCTTGTTCACTATACTAACTTTGGGTTTACTCTTTATTCCTAGCACCTGGGGATTTCATTCTCTTAGTTTCAAGTATTTTTCTTATGTTGTTTTCAGAATTTCTATTTGTTTTGAGGGAATGGTTTTGTGACAGCTTTGTATACAGTAGCCCACCATCTATCTCACTAAGTTCCCTCTCCCATCCACTGAATGCACACAGAGAAATCCCCTTTGCAAAATCTCCTTAACTGTCCTTCCACTAGTTACTTTTCTTCACCTCTCTCCTCCTTTTCTCCAAATTCTCTGTCAGCAACACCCAGGAACCAGGAAAGTCGAACTTTCTAGAGAGGTCTCTTTAGTGGGTATTGGGAGGGGAAAGGCTGAAAACATCCACAGATGTGTAAAGGGAAGACTATCATCCTATCAATGCTGCTTATAAATGATCCAGTGAGTGACTCACTGGATTTTAAAGATTTAAAATTAGTTTCATGTAAAGACAGAGTTTTATTCTGCTTTCTTCCCATATTACAAAGGTCTGTCAGGGAGGATATATTGCCTGGTGCAAAATATAAAAAAATTCCATTTCATAGTTTTACTAGGTTTCAAGTTGGTAGTTTTCTTTAAAAGATAATGAAGTGGCAGAACCTTAAGATTTCAAGCCAAGGTTCCTCTGAGCACATGCTGTATAAAGGATTTAAATTCCCATTTGTCTTGGACTCTGGTAAAGTCATATTTTGCAACCACTTATGAATTTTTTCCCTAAATTTTAATTCCTTCTACTTAGCCAGTAGCTTTTCCTGCAATACTTTTACATAGTTTTCCCTGCATCATATCTCCTTTGAGTTTAGTACAACAGTGGCAGTACCACACCTGGAGGTGAGATAATCCTACAGTTCTGGAGGTGCCCAGCCTCAAAAGGATCAGGGTCACAAGGCAGAAATAGGAGTAACAAAAAGGATATCTGCAACATGGATAACTTAGTAGGGGGCATATGGTTTTAATAATGATGGTAATAGCAGCTGACATTTATTGAATCATAACATTTACCTGGCATTTGTCAAAGTGCTTTGCATAGATATCCTTTCTATCCAACACTCCTGGTTTAGCTATTGTTTCTATTTCCCATTTACATATCAGGAAACAGAGGCAGCGAGTGTTAGGTTAATTTTCTCAGGGTCACACAACTAGTATTAGAGAGACTGACAGAGAAGGGGGAGAAAAGGCAAGGAAAAAACTAGAGATTCTCTGGGGACTCTGAGCAGCAGGAGCTTGTGGAGCATGTGTTTCCTGAGCTGCAATTAATGTAATTCTGTCACAAGGTTGCCAATCTTTGTGTCTCTTCATTCCCAATCTCAAATCCCAAGAGAGTACACCTGATAGGTCCAGCTTTGGTCTATCCCTTATAAATTAATGAGCTCTGATGAGGGAGCACGGGAACGTGATGCAGATATGGTCACCCCTCCATATGAAGAGCACTGTCTAGAAATGTGGTATTGGTTGTAAGTAGGCAGCCACTCCAAGTATTATCTATTGTATGACCTAATGATGCAAGAAGTTATCACATGCATATGCAAACACAATTTTCTGCAGCTGATAGATGTTCCAACAAGAGTTACATTCATCAACTAAAATACAGAGTGTGTAAGTTTTATTTTTGGTTTCTCTGGAGTATATATGTATACTGACTGAATTAGGAACCATTTACTATCTCATTTTCCTTAATATGGAACCCGCCCTGAAATGATGGACTTCTATTTCTAACAGCATGCCATTTTAGCTACTGTGAATGAGCCACCTGGCAAAAACAACTAAAAATTCTAGATTAAAAAAAAATCAAATACACTGATGAACTGGTAGGAAATGAAGGAATTCTTAGAGAGGATATATAAAGGGGGGGAAAGATAGGAAAAAAGGAAAATGAGACTATCTTGAGAAATAAGCAAGGGCCAAAGTGGGCTTTTGTTCAGAGATTATCTGTCAAATACTGGACACCCAGAGTTCCTGCTTTGATATTTGTGCAGTAAGCCAGGGTCACAAGATAAAGCCAAGTATCATTTCAAACAGCAGAGTCTTATGGGAGACAAAAATCTGGGGCCCCAAAGGACTATATTTCCCATGGAAGGGTGAATGTGAATTAAATCTCATCCACAGAAGAGGCCAGTAAGGAAACATGCCTATGTTGGCCTTGGAGCCCAGTAAAGGGAGGGGGGAAGTCTCCTCTGAGAATCTATAACAAGCCCTTTGGGTTAGAGGCCTAAATTCAATCTATCTGTGCAATAAAATAAACATCAAGTGGAGAATTTAATCTCGTCCTAAGGTACGTGGTGTCTGCAAGCAACTTTCAGAAGCAAAGTCTAATACTCTCCAAGAAAACTCAATTTTAATTCCAGCCTCAAAGAATGCTTATGCTTACAACTCCAGAAACATGAGTTCAGAGTTCAAAATCACAATCCACAGGGAAACAGGCACCATGAGCAAAAAGTGCCTGTTTTTGAAGAAATAGACATCATAAGACTCATAGAATTTTCAGTATTGGATTCAACTGAAACAGAATATAGACTAAATATGTTTGATTTGCATAAGAAATTAGAAAATGGCTTGAAAAGAGAACCAAACAGAACTTCTAAAACTAAAAATTACCGAAAATTTTGAAATAAAACATATAAAAGAAAGATTAAGACAAATGTAAGATAAAGTGAGAAAGTCTTAGAGAGGTCTTTTAGATGTTCTAAGGGATAATGGAAAAAATTGGAAATAAGCAACATTGAAGAGACAATAGTTGAGAATTTTCTGGGATTGTTGCAGGACACCAACCCTAAGATTCAGGATCTCCTCAAATCCTAAGCACGGTTAAAGAAACTTCAAGGAAAGAAAGAGAGGAGGAAGGAAGCATGGGATCCAGACTTAGATCATTGCAAAACTATCAAAGAGATCTTAAAACAGGCAGAAGGAAGGAAGGATGAGAAAGAGGTGGAAGGGAGGGAAGGTGGGAGAGAGATTGGTACTAGATTGTAGATGCAAATACAGAAAATAAACTGGGTCATTCTTATTAGGATTATAGTTGAGATTGATCGATATGACAGGAAAGTATCCTGATTAAAAGCAGTGAGAAAGTCTTGAGTACAAGAATATTCAATGGTGGAAGAATGCAGAAAACACCACAGACGCAGTTTCAACTCCAAGCTGAAAACAGAAACAGAAAATTAAATTATGAACTAAAGACAATTTCCCCCGGAAAACGAAGAGAATTAAGAAAAGAGGGGTGGAAAGTAACAATACCTAAAATTTACTGACTGCAAGAGTTTTTAAGAAAAATTTACAAAAAGAAACTGAGCAGGGAAATACTAAATGTATCACCTGTCAACATTTGCTAGGGGTCAAAAAGTAGAAAAAGACAACATCCAGGACCACAAAGCTCTAATACAGGATATTTACTCAACATAATCTAAAGTTATTGCTAGTACATCCCATTACATATAAAGGCTCCATCCGTTATTCACGGTTGCTTACTATTTTTTCTTTCTTTCTTTTTTCTTTTTTTTTGGCAGGTGCAGGTTGTATGTGTTACATTAGCACGACGACGAGACGGACCGCAAACTAGAATATATAAATAAATGGCTATTGACGACTATTTATGCATCTTTTCATCTATGAAATGCATATTCACTACATACCTTCAGTATAAACTATTTTAAAATTCCATGTGCGCCAACCAGATGTCTCATTTATATCTTAAAAGTAAATACTGAGAATAAATTCCAGCAGAGAGTTCTGTTTTAGACAATACGAATTGCCCGAACTTTGCTGATTGTTCTAGCGTTTAGAACCTTTGTTATTTGCTTAACACTACTTGAAATCCATGACTCACAAACGCCCGGGCATGGAGTCACAAGAAAGAACAGGTGAAAAGTTGTCCCTAGTTGTGTTCTGCGGGCATACAACTCCCGTCATTCTCTGTGCAAAAATCAACAAATAAACAGAGGCACCGCATTTCAGATTCTGTTGCGCACCGTTTGCAATGGCGCCTGGTTTTGGTAGTCTCTACGTGGAGAACTGCCAGCGTGTCAGTCCTTGCTCAGGAGGAATAAAACTACAGTTCCCACAAAGGCGCGGGGGCAGACACCGGCTGGCTTACGTCACTGCTTCAGCCAACCAATGATAGCTGCGGGCGGCAGTGAGGCAAGCGCCGTCAGGCGCCAAAGTGGTTTTTTTTTTTGTTTTTTTTTTTTTTTTTGCCGGAGTCGAGCGGGTGCTGCTAGCGGAGGCGCCATATTGGAAGGGACAAAACTCCGGCGACAGCGAGTGACACAAATAAACCCCTGGACCCCCTCGTTCCCCCAGCTCTAAGGGCCGCGATGTTGTACCTAGAAGACTATCTGGAAAGTGAGTGCGCGGTGCTGGCGGGGGCCGCCTGTACGACCTGCGGGCGGGCGAGAGCGCGAGTGGACGGGCAGGAGAGATGGCGGGAGGGAGGGGGAGGCGGGGGATGTTTCTTTCTCACGGTAACTGGCAGCCTCGTTGTGGGCTGCCGACTCCCCGGACCCCCCCTACGCACGCACGCACGCATCGACGTAAGCGCGTATTTCGCCGTTGGTCCCGCCCTTCTGACGAACTCTCCCTTTGACAGTGATTGAGCAGCTTCCAATGGACCTGCGGGACCGCTTCACCGAGATGCGCGAGATGGATCTGCAGGTGCAAAGTAAGTCGGCGCGTTCACTCGTGTTCGCTGCGCGCGTTCAGTGCCGGACTTGCTTGCCATCAATGCTGGCGCATGCTGCTGTTTGTCCTTAAGCTCGCTCCGCTACTGCATAAGGAGTTGTCGGAGAAGTGAGTGTGCTGCGTCTCGCCTCTTCCTTCTCACGCTACTTTTCTTGTAGCTTTTACAAGAGAAGGAGACATTTGGATAGGTGTACTCCTTTCTCGAATTTGGGACTGTGCGAAAAATATTTCTCTGCTTTCATTGAGAATGTAGATAGATGTTTTAGTGGACATCAGCATAAACGCTAAGATGATTTGGGCTTGAGCCTTTATGTATCAAACTTAGATTTGCATTTATAACTTCGGTTAAAGCTCATTCTATTCAGAATTTCCAAGAGTGGAAAACAGAAGCGCAGATTATATGTAGAATGTCAAATTTTGAAAAGTTAACGCATTATAGGATACACTTTGAATTGTCAACAGATGCTCATTTTGTTAATCAAAATGAGTGAGGGGAATAAGATTTTACTGTAGAGCTTATTGTCTACTGTAATAAAAATTTCGGCAGTTAATGGGCATTTCTTTTTCTTTCGGTGATAGCTTTGTAGTCCTGTGACTTTTTTCCCAAAATTAACCTTGTTCTTTCATAGAGTAAAGACTGTAAGTAGGTAGCTCAGGGACTGCTTGGGGTAGCTAAGAATTTGACCTTTTCATTCCCTCTTGCTCCTCTGCCCCCACCACACACACACTTCTATACGTTTGTTCATGAATATACTTTTCTCAACCTCTTTATCAGTTTCATGTGGCACATAATAAAAGGTGGCATCCTATGGAAGCCATCTACTTCTGTTCAGTGGATTGTAGTGTGGAAGTCTGAAGTATGTGTGGTTCTCCAGCTAGTTTACAAAACCAGATTTAACTTTAATGTAGCTGAAATGCTAAAGATATGCCAAAGTGGTGTTCTTTGTAGGATTGAGCACAGTCTTTGATGTCAGATAGATCTGAGTTTACTTTAGGGCTTTAATAATTTACTCATTGACTTTGACTGCATTACCACTTCTGAGGGGTTTTCATTTTCTATAAAAAGTGAATCATCTGAGGATTTAAAATAATCCAGA